AGCTGGGAAGAAGCCACTGTCTCCAGGCTTGCTCTCTTGAAGTACCCACTCCCCTGCCTGCAGACCTGCCCCTGACCAAGACCCAGGCAGTGGCCACTGCTGCAGCCCAGCTTGTCGAGCACTGAGGACGTGAGCTTGGCTTTGGCACGGTGTGAGCACAGCACCTCAGTGTGCATAGTGCGAGCTGGATGCTGCCAGCAAGAAGACTGCCAAGAAACCCAACAGACGTTTAACCATTTTATTGCCATTAACCTCAACAGACGTGAATGTATGTCTGTGTAAGCTTTGCCACAGGTATCCTGCTTTGGCCACAGCCTGCAACCTCAGCTACACTTTTTCATCCAAGAAAACAGCCAGCAGAGCCTTTGGCATAGGCAGTACAATCCTGGGAAAATGTTCCCATGGTCGCAGGGTGCCCAGGGAGGGGTCACCATCCACGCACTGCACGTAGGCTGCTGCCACCGGTCTGTTCCCATGGGATAACTCGGACAACAGTCCTTTCTCCAGGCAGTGTCTCTGGCATCAACACTGCTGCTACCACATGCTGTTGGAAACAGCAAGTGAATGCACAAGAAACTATATTTACTCCCTATTTTCAATATTACTGTGTGAACATATTCAGTATCAGCTAGTCCTTATAAAGGATCTGTATTTAGTAGCCTCAGTTCGATGAGCTCCTCTCCCTGTATTTGGGAAATACCATTTCTTGTGCATTTTGCTTTTAGCAGTGTAACATAGTTGGGCTTCACCTCCCTGAGCCTGATAAACTGAGTGACTCAGAAACCTGCAATCTGTTTCAAAACAAAGCATTTAAGATAAAAGATATAAGCAATAATTGAGCTGCTCGGCTCAGGAGTATAAATGCTAGAGGGTTACTCGTACTCAAAAACCTTCTAACCTTTCTTCAGCTTTTTTTAACCACTGCAAGCTGTGGGCAAGGCAGGCTGCAAGTAAGAGCTTATCCACTCCTGCGTGCAAACCCCGGAGCTGGGAAGTAGAAGGAGCTCTGATGCCAGCACTGTGCAGCAAAGATGATGTGGAAGGGGGAGAGCTGAGCACTCGCTCCATGGCCTCCAAAGTGCTCTTATTTCTGCTGATTAAACAGGTGTCAGCTTCTGAGAGGATTGTGTGTCATCCATCCTGTTGGCTGAGACAATTATTTATCTCCAGCAACAGTTTGGTCTTGAGATCTGCAGTTCAAAGAGCATACCAGGAGTGCTGTCATCCAGCGCCATGTGTAGCAATTTGTACCCACTTGGATTTCCCTGTACCCAAAGAGATGGCACGTCCAACACATCCCATCCTTCACCAGCTCAGGCTCACACCCAGCCCGTCCTTCCAAGCAGCCTGGGCAGGGACCACCAGCATTCTGGTGAAGCCTCAGAGATACCTCCAGCAGGGACCGAGAACAAGCACTAGCTAAAATCAGCTCAGCATCCAAACAGCAGCCTGTCTGAGCTTCCCATTCCCTCAGCTGGATGTTAACGTGACAGCAGTGCTGCGGCACTCTCTTCTGGTTGAGCTTCGTGGGGTGCACGCACCAACGGGGACCAGCTCAGCTGCGGCCAAGTCCAGGGGAAAAATATATCTGCTGCAGCCTGAGATGGGAGAAGTTCCAGGGGAGAGCAGCCAGAGGAGTAAACAGTTTTGGAATGCAGCCTCAAAACCAACACTGAAAATGTTGTATACCTTCATATAAATTGATGGCTGACCCTCATGGAGACTACCAGGGACAGATGAAAAACAGATCCAGGCAACTGAAAGAATTTAAGTCATTGAGAAACACATGGAGAATGATGGAAAAGACTAAAGATGGGGAACGATATGAAGAGGGGAGTTAAGAGAAGAGGCAAAAGGTGTGTTGGAAAGGAGATATGGAGCTGGGGTTCCTGGCAGCCAGGCTGGATGCCTTAGGGTGGGAGTGACCCTGAGGCACAAGACTCACAGAGCTCAGCTCACCTGAAGCAAAGACAGGCCGAGTATTGGGGGTACTGAGTCACAGTCCGCAGTACAATCACAGAGGGCACCAGTTAAGCACTGGGAAGCAGTGCCCTCGCCCAGGCAGATGCTAGAGACGCCCCCAGCCAAGGTTCCTCTGGAGATATCCCAACTGGCATTGGAAGTTGGATGCTGTCAGGGAGGAAAGGGTGGATGAGATAGATCCTGCTTGGCTTTCCTCCATCTGTTGCTAGCATCCTGCCCCCTCGAGAGGCTGGCAGGCTGCATCAGCCTCCCCCAAACCTCTGATCCCCCAGAGTAACTCAGGTGGAGCCAGATACATGAGACTGCATCACCTCCATGGACATGGATGCAAAGGGAGGTGAGGCTTTCCAAGCCTCAGAGCCAGGGTGTATGCAGGATCAAATCAAATCGGAAGCTAATTTGCTGTCGGGCAGCCAAGGAGAACACTGCGTGGAAGAGCTGCAGGCTGTGCACTCCAGTAGCAAGAGTGAGAACCCCCTGAAGTCCCAGCACACAGATTGAGGTTTAAAGGATGCTGCTGTTCACAAGCAAGTCATGACAGGCTGAAGGCAGTAATTACAGTAACGAACTCCTCCATCACTGTGCTGCTGTGATGCCGAGTCCTTTGGCCAGTTTGCAGTAGATTTCTTCATTTGCTACACTCCCAGCATTAAAGGAGGGTCTCAAAGGCAAGACTAATTAATAGGTAATGTTAAATTGAAGGGAGTTGAATTGTAAGAAAATACAGAAAATGAAGATGGAGGAAGTGATAAAGGTCTTCAGGGCACTGCCAAGAGCTGCAAGAGGAAAAGAAAAATCATTCCCTCTCTTACACCTCCCCTTTTTACCATCACCTTGAAGTATTTTGTTCCTGAGGACAGAGGAGAGCTGGGTCTCTGAGTAGCAGCACTGCAGAGCTGCCTCGGTCTGTGGGGACATGTGAAGAAATGCAGCTGTCTCTTAAATAACAGGAGTTGACACTAGTTGTGAATAGATGAGTGATCGTGGCTTCAGCCGTCACAGCGGAGGATCTGATTTCAAATGAAGCCCCATTCATCCATCCAGGGCCCATCATAAGGCTATTAAGGGAGCATCTGTCACAAACCCACAATGGCTTTAAATGCTTGTAAAAGGGCACAACAAAAATAAGCCTGCTTAGCTTTTATACATTTCTCTGGGTGATGTGATTTTTTTAGCATAAATGAATGATAAATATGATGGGTAGCCAAAATACGTGATGTGAGCTGGATGAGATTTGTTTTTCACCTTAGCATAGAGTTTGGTTGGTTGGTTGTTCTTCCAGGCTAGCGGGATAGGCATGAAAGCCGGTGGCAATGAGTTTTCTCGGGTACACAGCCCCAGTGCAGTGGGCGTCCTGCTCTGGAGGCCCGGCTCAGAGCACTCTGGGCAGGACATGAATGGAAAAGCCTTTTCCTGCTTTACAGTGCAGCAGGGAAAGCATCTCCAGCGGCAGGACAGGGTGTCGCATTCAGGCCCCGAGGGATGCTCTTTGGCAAGGCACAGGGGGAAGTATGCTCATTACTAAATCAGTGTGATTGAGTTACTCACCAGGACTAAATCCACAGCCTATGTTAAAAAACCCTCACATTTAGATAAACTGAAAGTCAAGCTCAGACGTCATGGCTATCTTATGTGAGTGGTTCCTGCTTATACCTTCTTGCAGTCACCAGTAAACTCCCCACAATGTCTTTATTCTCTGCAAGCTGCCACCCTCTGGCTAACACCTGAACGGCTACCCTCCCATCCTGCCCCCTACATGTCACCTCCTGCCCCACTGCCTCCTCAGGTGACATTCAGGCTGCTAGAAGCACAGAGATTGAATGGCAAGGCCATTGTTTATGCACAGACCTGCTTTATTATCTTCACTGTACACTGAAAGCATCTCATCTGCATTAGATTGATGCTCCTGGGGCTAGAGGGGGTGTTTGGGCCCTGTAATGCACATCAACTCCCCCTTTCAGAGGAACTAGAGTGTCTGTGTTCAGCTCAGTGGTGGTGAGAAAGGCTTTACTGTGTGATGCAGTTCTGTGTTTGTAATTCATATTAAATTGTAACCCAAATTCCTCTTTTCTTTATAAATTATATTTAGTTGGGCTGAGTTGTTTTGAAAAATTGTCTTGAATGTGGATGAAAAGAGATTCTGGTCATATGTGCACAGCTGTTGGATTCCTCTACAAAAACATTTCATGATGAAAGACAGGACTTCCTACCCAAAGTTTCAGCCTATGGAGGCATTGCTTATGTTCATAGATTTTAATAGAGCAGAATAAGGATAAATGCTTTAGGACTATCCAAATGTTTTAGAAAGCTATATCTCCTCCCTACCCCGCAAACACTCCACCCCCCCGATTTATACTCTGAGATTATCACCATCTAAGCGGGCCCCTGGATTTTGTCCAAGCGCTGCATCTCCCAGTCCCAGCCCTATGCTGACTTTCACACTGAAGCAGTAACTCAGGCAGATTCTTGTCCCTTCATTTGAGCTGACTGAAGGTGAGGCATGTCATTGGAGCAAGCTGCCCTGTCTCACTCCCTTCCCAGCAGAGAGGCAGGTACCTGCCAAAGGTGACTCGACCTGTCTGTTCTGGGAGCGAGACTTATATGCTCCAACTTCTTATCTGAATAAACCCTTGCAGAAAAGCATGTGTATGTACAGCATCCAGCACAATGGACTGACTGGGACCTTCATCCCTCAGGGAATAAAAATAGCCAGTAATATTAAAACTGTATATTTTCACAGATTGCAATCGGGGCCACAACACACACACACACACACACACTTAATTTCCTGCTTTCAGTTCACTATCAGATTTTATGCTTAGGTTAGTGGGGTTTGTTAACATTTCATTTTTCCCAGAAGAGGGTTTTTTTTTCCTTTAACTAAAATACACATTCAGGCATGAAAAATGAGATTGAAAAAGATTGATAGGAAGCTGAAGGATTCATCTAAGATCACCAAAGATTAATATGTGTCTTATTCTTATCTGTTTTCTTTTTCTTTTCCCTTCTTCTCTCAGCTACCTAGACAGCTTAGATCGAATTGGAGCTGCAGACTACCAACCCACGGAGCAGGATATCCTCCGAACCAGGGTGAAAACAACTGGCATTGTAGAAACCCACTTCACATTCAAAAACCTCCACTTCAGGTTAGTCTAAAACTGCATGTACTGGTAAATTTTCAGGGCATTTATTTGTCACAGGGTTTCCCCATAGCTCCCAAAGGAGAAATTGTGAAATTACTGGTTAACACATAGATGGCTCCCACTGCAGAAGACATGGCATTTTGGGTGGGTCAACAATATGTGATGTTTGACAATCCTGTCTTGAAAATCACTACCTTTAAGATAGGAGCTCATGGTACTTTCTTCTAACCCAAACGATACCACTTTGTTGGGAGGTATAATATGAGATAGGCCCCAAGTCTGATCAAGCTCATAAATGTAAAAGTATTTGGCCAAATCTTTCTCTAAAGTGGGTCAATCTCTTGTGAATAATGCTATATATTGAACCTCACGATGCCAGCTAGTAGAGAGAGGGGGGCATGTGAAATGCTGGGGTTTCAACCCCAAGCCCCAAATTAATGTTGACATGTGGGTGATTCCCACAGCCCTTCCCAAAGGGGGGGTGAGTTTGCCTTTAGGCTTCCCTCCAGGGTGGTGCCGGCCTGGCAGACAGAGCCATTGGGTAAAGGAGCCCCAGGTGTCTGCAGTAAGTAACCCAAGGTCAGGTGTCCCACTGAGGGATAAAAGCTGGGACCCCTTGCAGGCAGGGGCAGTGTCTGTCTGTGAGGGGGATGCCCTGTGCAGAGTTCCCTGTTGGGGAAGGACCTCCTGCCTCCCTGGGACTGGGCTTCAGTCATGTCTGGCTGTTGTAAACACGGGCTGTGTAGAGATTCAGTATGTGGCTTCCTTGGTCTTATGTGTCTGGCTTGTTGACTCAGTGGTCTCCCATCCCTTCTATGGGAGACTGCATGTTACCATTTATTCCACCCATTGTTGGTCATGCGGTGTTGTTGTTGGGGTCAGTGGGATTGATGTCGATTAGGTATAATCTGACTGACTCTCACCTCTGTACTGATCCTTTTATATCAAATGTAATTTGGTTATTGGTTCATCTTTATGCTGGCTGTGTCCTTTATGCTAGGCCTGATAACTGGTAAAACAGCATGAAGACAAAAAGCCACACATGACAGTATTTAGAACATACAAAACTCGAGTGTGCTGTCTTGACCTCTACAGACCCTTTGGAGTCCAGCATGCTGCTGAGGCTCTCCCACAAATCCCCATATCCCTCACTGTAACTGCTTCTCCTGTCTTCCTCATCTCCAGGCTCTGGAGGAGGAGACCAAGCCAGTGGTTAAAGACCCTTTGTTTTGCTTTTGGATCCTTCCAGGGACTGTATGGTCAGAAAATGCTAAGACTGCTAAAGTTTCCTCTTAACTAAGAAAGAGCAGGTGCTGACAGTATCTTCCTGTGCCGTAGGCTCTTTGATGTCGGGGGCCAGCGGTCAGAACGCAAGAAGTGGATTCACTGCTTTGAGGATGTCACAGCGATCATTTTCTGTGTCGCGCTGAGTGGCTACGACCAGGTGCTCCATGAAGATGAAACCACGGTGAGTCTAACCGGGTCTTGGAGGCCCCAGCACTTCTTTACGGGATACTGCATAGCCATCAACTGCGCAGAGATCGCCAAATGCTCACTGGTGTTCTGCAGTAATGTGCTTTTGTCAGTCACTCCCCCTTGACACTGAAATCCTGGGGAGATTTGTCCTCCTCCACACACTTCGAAATCAAGCCTGCATGCCCAGGTAACGCTTAATTGCATGGGTAAAGTCACAGTGGTTTATTTCTCCTTTCTACTGACCTGTGTGTTTTGAAAGTGTGTTAACAGGACCCTATATCCATAAACAGGAGATATAGCTAGGTGGGCTTCTAAAACAAATGTTAAGAAAGCAATCATGCCATGGTGCAGAGGTGCAGGATGGCCATGCACGCTGAGGTAGGCTCAGGCTAGGAGTATAACCTATTACTTCAGGCTACAGAAATTCATTTTCCTGAGTGAGACTGGAACGGTATGATTCCTCAGGTAATTTGCTCTAGGAGGGCTTTTATGACTTCCCACTGTGACATTAGGCTCAAAATACCATCTGGAAATACAGCTAGCGAGGACCTGTGTGCTCCTTGGTATTAGAGTGCAATTAATACAAGTGAATTAAATACACAAAAAGGATGCAGGAAGACTCATTATTCTGGCTATTCATTCAGCATGATGGGGATGCATGCTGTTGGGACTAACAATGACTGCAGCAGGCACCCAATTGCATTTGTCCAATGAAAAGGAATTAGAAGCCATACTCAGACTTGGTAATGATTTCACCTGTGCCCAGTCTGTGCTGGAATGGAGGACTCACTCCTGCCAGTGCTGTCTCTCTGAGGCTCTTTATTCTCCTGCTGGTAAAGATGTCAGGCTTGCAGAAAGCTGTTGATGAGGAAGGAATTGAGACAAAGATTGCTGTTAGGTATCAGTTATCTCTTCCCAAAAAAGACCAGGTGGTGCTGTGGTTTCTAGCCACTTTAAGCCAGGTTTATGAGCTCTAGCAAACTATTTGATGAAGTCACCTGGTTGTATTGACGCTAGAATTCAAGGTGATATTAACATCATGACTATGTCCCTCCAGACGGACTGAGATACCCTACACTCTCTTATGTCCACTATTTATAACCCTCAGTTGTCACCTCCCTCTGGCCCTGATATGCTCAAGGATGCTCAGTCCTGTAGGATTTACTGGGAAGGAACTAAAATCTCCTGACATGATTTGAAAAACCAAGCCATTAGCTCAATGCAATAGAGCTCTGCAGCTGGACAGGGGAAACGCCCCCAGGAGATGAAGAAGAATGCACAGGAAGAGGGCAGACCCACGGGGCAGGGAGCAAAGCTGTGATCTGAGCAGAGAGCAAGGTGCTCTGTGGGTATAACTTGGGCTATGACACTCAGACCATGAAGCCAAAGGCAGCCTTTAATACAGATCACCTTTAGGCACCAGTCTACACAAGCCAGAGACTGTGATTCAAAGTCATGGAGCACAAAATGGAAGAGCTTGAATGCCAATGCCATTTTTTAAATGTCAGCCCTAACTCAACTCCTCTGCGATGGAGGTTACAGCATCTCTTCTGGGGATGCTGAGCTCTGCCAGTGACTGTCCATCACCCAGTACCACCCTGGTGACGAGCAGGGTGCCAACTCAGCTCCTCCCCAAAGTGCCCTATTGCAGAAACAGGGATTTGTGCAGCTCCAACTTTCCTTTTCCATCAGGAAAGCAGGCTTGCACTTCTCTGGCACAGCGCTGACATTTGCTTGCTATTTCAATCCCTTTTCACAAAGCATTTCTGGGGATGCTGAGCAACAGGAGGGCAGAGGCAGCTGCTGTTCATTTACACATTCGGCGTAAACGGGGGAAGGATTCGGCATCACCACCGCTGTGCCTGCAAGACGCCCCCGCCTAACCCAAATAAACAACCCTGAGCGAGGCCAATGCAAATAGGAAAAAATGACGGTGTCAGATCTTGTCTGCCTTATTATACCCCCAGCACAAATGACAGGTGGAAAATGCAGCCCTCACAGACTCTGGCCCTCTCCCAGCTGAACCCCTGAGCATTCAGTCTCCTCCATGCTAACATGGTTCCTCTCCAAAAACCCAGCAGTAAAAGCAGCATCTCTTCAGTCAGCTGATTTACCGTCTGTCTGCATCCGTCACATCTGCTGGCTTTAATGACGTAAATCAGCTTTTATTGCTTCTCACTTAGAAAACACAAAGAGGAGGCAGCTGAAGGACTGAGCTGGATGCTGCTCCTCCATCTTCATTTTCTACAGAGATGCTTACTATGGTCCGGGCACTTCCAGCTGTATTAAGCCACTGTAGGTTTGGGGGCTGTACAGATGTCTCTGCGAGTATGAAAAGACTTGTAGAGCTTTCATTGCTGGTGTGGAGCCACGAGAGAGAAAGAGCCCTACTGCATCTCAGGTGCCCAAAAGACCACTTGCAAAGCCGTGTGCATAGGGAGAACAGCTTTTCCTCGTGCACTCTCTACCCTGTTGAAAACAATCACAGGCTTTCACAGGGCCATTTTGCGCTTCTCCAAGTCAAACCACTTTAGGTGGATGAAACTGCAGCTCAGATAAAGTCAGCCTTTAACATGGAGCAGGGGCTCACCTTGTTAAGCTCAGTTAGTGCAAGGGCACTGGGATCTGTGTAGTTGTAGGGTCAGCTCATTTCACTGAAAAAAGCTCACAGACAACAGGTTTACTGCGAATCCTTTCAACCAAGACTGAGCAAAAGAGCTGGTTAAACCAGGTTGGGTGAAATGCCCCCGACCTGTTCCTGCCCTTAAAATTAAAGCACAGCTCTACACTTGTAAGGTTTTTTGTGGTTTAATGCACTCTTTCTGTTAAAAGACTGAGCACCCATCCTCCTGCAGCAGCTAAAAAAGGGCTGTTGTATGAGAAGCCGTCACTCCCTAAGAGCGGGTAGTTTTTTATAAGGGATATATTTTTTCTCCAATTCCCTGCCACAAAGAGCAACACGGCAGCAGTTGAGGAAAATGAGTACTTCTCTATGTCCAGATCAGAAAGACATAAATAAAAAGAACTTTCTGTATCTGCACCTGTAAAGACCATGCTTTGCATAGAAGCCCCCAGTGCTGTTGAATCCAGCCTCTCCCATTGCCCCAAACACCTGCAGATCTAAACTACTTCCCTGCATGCCTGGCTCCCTGGGGGGGGGGGAGCAACCTGCGGAGAAATTTAAGCAATGCCTTCATCAGTCCCACTGCTGCCAGCCACAGCCCACAGCTAAAGCTCTCAAGGCAAAATTGCACCCTCTGCCCAGCCCATCCAATGCACAAGACACTATCTTCAAGGTATTACACCTGCCTCTGCATTTGCCTTTCCCAAGTCTGTTTGTACACAGAGGGAACATCCTGCTTTAACTGACTGCACAACTCCGTGGGTTATGTCTTTGCATAATGAGGCTATTTTGACTCCTTTGTGATTTATCTTTATGTTTCATAAGCTGAGGTTACAGGAGGAAAAGCCTCAGATCTGTAATCTGGGAGGAGAGGGACAGCAGTCATGTTAATCAGTAAAACTGGAGAAGATGATTAACAAAGGTAGATTTGCGTTGTTCCTTCTGAATGGGATTCCTAATGACACTTAAAAAAAGACAGCAATGGCATGGGACTTATCACAGGAACAAGGACTATCCTCTTTGGTTTTTTCCTTGCAAATTCAAAGGAGTCATGGCAAGAGACGGAGCTGTTCGTGCTGCACATTGCTGCCTCTGAAACTAAGACATTTAGGTCATCCATATCTAGCCAAGACATGAGAGTATTGTTCATGTCCCCATTGCTGAGCATGGGATGGGTTGAAGGCGCTGTGCTGGTGACCCTTGGTGTGCATTAGTGTTAGCCTGTTGGTTCATATTTCATTGCATGACCTGGTTAGCATGCCCTCTCTGCTATCATTGGGCAAGAAAAATTGAATTGCAGAGCTCAGAAATTGCTTTAGGAGTGACAAAGCAAGTGAAAGTGGTTTGAACACCTTAGGAAATATAAGCAGGAGGGGAAATAGGAAGTTTCTGTGCTTAGGATAATCATCAGTGTCCTTATAGTTCACATGACAGCACTTAATCACCAAAGAAAACAAACAAGATTGAATCGACTCTGTGTTGCAGAAATAACCAGGCCTTCTCCCATGCTCTGGTGAAAAAAAGATGGGTCTTATGAGTGTGTTTCTGACTGGGCAGAGTCTTGACCACAGCATCCTTTCTCCCCGATGCTCAATGGAAAGCTGTTTGCCCTTCACATCACCGGTGGGGACACTGTTGTGCAATGACATCTGAATTTAGCTATAGGCAATTCTGACTTGTCCTGCACAGGAAAACTTAACTGGACTTTTAATTTGTAACAGCTCTTTAACGCGGCTGGTGAGGCTCCTTCCCTTGTTGAGGTATAAAGTATTTGCAGGCATAACAGTTTATAAATACTGATTTTCAAATAGGACATGATGTTAAAAAGCCAATGTTTCAAGAGCCCTCCCCTTAATGACAGACCAAATATAAAGTAGGAAAAAGCAGCACAAAGGGTCCAAAAGCAGGTGAAGTAATTTATATCACTTCATATAAAAGTACGAGAAGTGCAATCCTTAATGCCTCCTAGCAGAGCAGGCACATCTGCTCCATCACAGCAGCACAGGTGCTCCTGGGAGGGACCCTGGGGAAGCTTTAAGGGACTTAAAAGGGTCTTTCACTGTGGATTTAGTGGTAGAAATGGGATTATTTGGGGCTTTAACTTCTTTAGCCGCAGCCTGTGCTTTTACATGTAGTACGCCGAGACTGCCTCCCCATCCTCGTGTTCATCCAGGGCCTGCCTGAGCTGCTGGAGGTCTCCTACAAACATCTGTTAAACTAATAACAGTTGGGAAGCAAAAGGAAAGGGAGGCAGTGAGGCATTCCCGGTGTTAGTGTTAGTGGGCACTGGGACAGATTGTGTCCGTGTGTGGGCTCCCAGGAGCTCTCCTGGAGTGCGATGGCATTTCCCGCATGGCACCCAGGTAGGGCAACAGGAGCATCTGTACCTGCTCACCAGGGTATTGCTCTGCACCTTTGCCAGGCACAGAAAGCGGTTCCTCGCTTTTGAATAATGCTTTCTTCGCTTTAGTGATAGGGAGGGAAAAGATGGATTTTCAGACCAGATTGTTTCCCAGGTAAATAAGGATGAGTGGACAGGGTGGTGGCTATATTTGCTCAGCTAACTGGCAGAGCTGGGGGAAAAATCAACATGCAGAGATCAGAAAGCCAGGCCAAGCAGCCCTAGGAAGCTTTGAAACGTTTCTGGAATCTGAAAGGAATAGAGGATTTTTATTGTAACTCATTTTCTACAGGGATGTATTGGTTTGTGCTGTGTGTATATTCTGGTTACAATTGAACACTAAGAGTCACTATTTCATGGGAAAACACTCTAACTTTGTAACAAATATTAACACAAACTGTGTAAGAGAAGCAGAAGGATTTCTGTAGGATCTTTATATAGTGTTGCTACTGTAGGAAGGTCAACTTCACCTAACAGTGAAGCCCAGCTCAGGAGAAGTCCTCAGCTTCTCTTTCTTTACGAAAAACAGTGTTGCCTATGGTGCTTGCTGTGCCAGAAGGTGCAGTTGCGCACTGCTGCTCCCCGCCAGGGCTGCACAGCGCGGCACGGGGCTGTGAGGTGCAGCATGGTAAGTATGGTCAGCTCCAGGCTGGTGGCTGCTGCTGATCAGGTGTTGGTTTAACCCATGAGCAGTGTTCTTGTATTTCTCCATGCTTTTATTTTAAATCAGCAAGGGTGATAAAAATGTCATCAAAAATGGTTTGTGAGGGACCCTGCTTCAAAAAAAGGTTAATTATATTTGCTTTCTGTTCCCCTGACCACCCTCCACTTTCTTCTCTCCTTCCAAAGGCTTTGGGTAGCCAAGGATCTCCTGTGCAAAACCTTTGCAGGTTTCTACATGGTTACAATTTTGACACTACAAGTAGCAAAGGGTAGCATTGCTCTGGGGCTCCCACACCAGCCAGTACAAAATGGGTTAGCAAAAAAAACCACACAGACACAGGATGATCCAGATAAGCAACGTCTTGCAACTGAGACCCAATGAGTAAATGCATTTTTACATTTGTACGTGACTGCATCTTCCCCTTGTGTCAGTACAGTGCATGGTGGGGAGATGCTCGGTTGTTTTGAGTCTGGGAGCAAAGCGTGTGATACACGGTACAGCAAATCACACGCGTCCTGTTTCAGTCTGGGTCAAATCATATGTTTCCTTCATCCACGGAGCCACTTTTATCTAAATAAAACATTCAGCAGCAGCTAAAGTATATCTATGAAAAGAAAAGCGTTAATCTATAAAGTGCTGGGCTCAATTATGGCTGCCAGTGTGGGCATGAAATGGAGCGGGAGAGGGATGAAAGCCCCCGGCTGTCTCCTGCACCACTCCGAGTTTCCAAATCCAGGGAGTGGGCACGCTGCTCCCACCCTGAGAAACCCTCCAGCAATGAGACCGTGCAGCCCTGTTCTCTCTAGCATCTCTCCTGCGGTCGCTGTAACCAGTCTCGTATGTGCACTAGCGGCTTTGGGGAGTGCTGTCCCAAGGAGATGCCGCTGGGAAAAGCCGAGGAGCCGGTCTGGTCTGTACCATGCTTTGCCTTTGATAACCCCCTGACTCTTGGGTGTGCTTCGTCCTCACCGCGCCTGCTCTCTCCACTGCCCGGCTCCCGGCTGAGAGATGGCCACGCGACCAGCGTGCGCGCCCCGGCGTCGGCCTCGCGCGCCGAACATCGCCAGCCTCGGCACCTTCACAGCTTTTCCTCGGCCGTCTGACCTTATCTAGCCAAACAAAGGCCAAAAAATGAGCATTTGAGAGACCAACCAAATTTGGCAGGTATGAAGCTTCTCTTGAACAAAGAAAAAAAAAAAAAAGAAACAAACTAAAGAAAAACTGAGTTGAGAGTTGAAAGCAGCAGGGAACATGACACTTGGTTGACTTTGCCGTGAGCTCTTTCCACCACCATGAAACCATGTGGCGGACTTTGCAACTCTCTAACTGGTCTGGTTTTTTCATTCCTCTTATCTCTCTCCTTTCCTGTGTTGTTTTTTTGCATGACCTGTAACCAAAAAGCTGACTTCTCGCTGTGCATACGTTTGAACGTATGGCTCTTCTGCTGGCGAATAGCTAATGTTCTTCTAGAGGCATGAGCTAGTATCAGTAGTAGCTGCCTGACTTCTAGTCTGGTTGTTCTTAGATGCCCTTCATTATGTCTTTCCTTTTTATACTATTTCCTCTTCCTTTTTCACTTATTTCCCCTCTCTGCGAGACTCTTTCTGTTGAGCCATCTTCCAAGAGAACTAAAAAAAAAATTAAAAAATTAAAAGCCCAGCAACAGACAACAACACTAAACCAAATAACAAAACCAGGCAAAGGTCACGGCAAGGTCATTTCCAAAATTATGTCACCTTGAAGTCTGCTTCCAACTCTAGATTAATTCAAGGATCTACCAGTCCTTGGTTAATGTATCCAACCAGTTGTGTGCCACACACACTCGAGAAAGTGAAAAAAAATATTTAAAATTAATGAAAACATTTTAGAAAATCTGCATGAGCTACACCGACACATAAATCTGATCGAAGGGCAAAAATAACTCCCCATCCATGCATGGTGCATGATGATTTCTATGAGCTGGGTTCCTGTAAATTATATGCTATGCAAAAATCAAAACAGCTCTGTAAAGTTAAATGCCCTTAAGTTACTAACTGTATGTCAAATATTATAGGGATTGCATCTGTGTATGTATATGTTCAGCTGTATGTATACATAAATTTATTATGTATATCGTAGCTGCTTTTTTTTTTTGTTTTCCTCCTTAATTTAGTTGGTTTAGATTTCCCTACGTGTTGAACGTCCCCAAGTCACTGTCTTTGGCCTGATGCGATCTCTCCTTTCTGTTGCAGAACCGCATGCACGAATCACTGAAGCTTTTTGACAGCATCTGCAACAACAAATGGTTCACAGATACATCTATCATCCTCTTTCTAAACAAGAAGGACATATTTGAGGAGAAAATTAAGAAATCTCCACTGACTATCTGCTTTCCTGAGTATACAGGTAATGAGAAATCTGGCTGTACAGGAAAATGAATAGCAAAGGGATCATGGAACATTTCCCATCCAGGCTGATACTGTTGTGTATCACAGGCAACAAGGCTAAAGATGCATAGCTAGAGCTCCTCTTTGCTTCCCTGCAAGTTTTATTTCAATAAATGCCATAGGATCACCCCCACCATGTGGTCCACTAAAAGTGAGAGGATGACTTAAACACAAGTTCTTTGCCAGCAAAGGGCCGCCATCACTAAGCAGGATGTTTGATCTCTGCCCACGGGTGGTATCGATGCCGAGCCAACGCCTGCAGGTGTGGGGCTGGCAGCACACTCCCTAAACCTGCTTCCCAGCGTCGCTCAGGAACATGAACCCTCTTGAAGGTCTTTCAGAAAGATGTGGTGATCTTAACCATTACAAATGGGTAACTGATCTCTGCGAGACCAACCCACGGGGTTTGTTAGGCTGTCCCCAGTTGGAGTCCTGCTTGGCTGATCCATAACCCATCATGTTCCCATCCGTGGATCCTGGATGACCACAGTGAGGATCCCTCTGCAGTTCTTGGCCACTACCCCACTGCCAGACACCAAGGGGCTACAGGGTCAGCCCTCCACCATGCAGACAGTAGGTCCCACAGCTCGGCTGCTTCAGCTCAAGCTGTAAATTTTTATCATATTAGTTTAGGAGGTCCCCAGTTTTGCTCTTGGGCTCGCTGACATCAAGGATCTGGACATAGAAATGCTTTCAGTCAAATGCAGATAGAAAACAAGGCGCTGGATTTTTCTCGTGCCCTGGCCACCCACATCTCTTAACCCATAGTGCCAGCAGAGAAGAGCTGCAGCAAGCCATGCCCTGAGCTTGGCTGGGGTGAGAAGGCCTTGGTGATACTTGGAGACCAGAGCAGAAGCTCTGCAACAGGGCAGCGGGCAAGAAGCCCTCGCTTCTGCTGCCTGCCTGGCATCTGACCTGCTAATGATGAGACTATATCACCCATGCAAAGGCTGCATGCAGCTGCACCCCACTGCTGCTCGCTGCATCTCGCCAGCTTCCACAAACCCTCATTACCATTCCGAAACAGCATAAAAATAAACTTTTACTGTCATGAATTATTTAAGCTCACCAGAGACATCGAAATGAATCAAGGTGACAGACAGAGCAGCAGATCTCTGTCAGGAAATGTAGTTGTGAACCAGGAGTACCAATAGTGTCACATTCCTGGGCAGGCCAACAAATTATTAACCAGAGCTTCCTCTCTCTGAGCACTTGATTTTTCACTGTGAATAGGCAAAAGTGATCCATCATTGCTGCTTTGGGCTGAATGCTCTATGGCCATGGAGCTAAATGACTCCGTCTGAATTCAGAAGAACATCTGCAGGCTTCCTCTCCAGGGAAGGTTTGGATGTTTGTCACCACCAACACATTTCAGCCATCTACTCATCTGCTTGGTCCAGACAGAACCAACATATTCCTGACACGTTTGTCTAAAAAGATCTAATAATGGAAATATCACAGTCTTTACAGTTGAAAACTCACAATAATGCCAACCCCAATTTTTTCTGGTTGCAGATTAGATTGTTGCTTGCCATCTTTTGGATGGCTTGTAGAGCAGCTCATCACCATCCTATTTTAGCAGTGCTTCTGTATACCAGAAGATTTTTATCATGCCCTCTTCCTTTTTCCCTTTTTTCATGAAGAAAACCTGCACCTTTCACTCCTTCCTGATCACATTTTGTGGACGTGGTTTTGTGGATCTTCACTGAAGTCTCCCAGTATCCCCACTCAGAAATAATAATCTTACATATCCCTGATGGCAGAGAGACAGAACAACAAGGAATACAAGAAGGAATATTTTTTGAAGTGTAACTTTTCTTTCCCAAGCTATCCCAGCCCAAGAGAATTGTACAGTGGAGGAGGCAGACCGTCTACAGATGTAGCTGAGCTCTCAGCTGACCACAGAGAGGAAAACAAATATAGCTTGTTTCTGGAGCACTTCAGCCCCAAGTGAACCAAATCAGTCTTTCCCAAATCTCAGATTAGCCCAGAGATGCTCTAAATTCCTTTGAGGTGCTGTTCTGGAAGCTGGGAGTTATCACAGTGGCAGGGACCCTCACTGACCTCTTGTCTCTCTCATGCCATCAGAGAGGGCTGGAAGGCTGAAATTCCTTCCACTGATCCAACAGGGATCTGAATCACAGAGGGGAAAAATATCTCATGCCCAGGCGTTCAGCAACGCCATTAAAAGTTGGAAGTTAGCTTGGCTAGTGTTAAGCCCAGACTTTAGACCCAAGCACAGACTTAAGCTTGCTTGCCCCTGCTTTGCTGACCACAGCTCAGATGAAGCCCTTGTGGCCTTGTGAAAAAGTAGTATTATTAGAAAGTTGCCCTGGAGTTAAAAAGAATTATTTGATGCAAGCCTATAAGTCAAACAAGCGGACTTTCAACATCACAAGTAGGTTCCACAAAATGCTTTGAACAAAATGAAGTTTCTGATGTCCGTTAGTCCTGCTGACAGAGAATTATTAGAAGACTACATCCACAAATTTGCTTGCTGTATGCTGGAGCACTGACTATTTCCATCCCCTTAATTCACTCATGCTTTTAACTAATCCACAATACTTATAAAGCAGCAGCAGAATCCAGAGTGTGTTTTAAACCAAGGCAGCATTAGTGATTCCCTGCTCTCCCAGAAGTAATGCAGCATCTAAATCCTCATGCCTTTGAACAATCCTTTCATGAAATACCCTCCTGGTTTTGCACACAGCAAGTGGAACTGTTCCTAAATTCTTTACACAGGTCTTCACGCAAGAACCTGCTCCCAGAAATCATTTTGCTTCTCTTACTTCAAGCATATTCTCAAATCTCATGGTCTTCATAAGCTTGTATCTTCAACTGGCAGTGCATGTACGTGTAAGTGCAAGTCATCTCCCATATCAGGTGCCTTCAGCACTAGCAAATCTGAGACCCAAGGAGGCTTCTCTTCATCAGAGGACAACATTTCCCATCAGTAAAGCACCATGGACGGAGAGGATGCAAGAGCATGAGCAGTGTTGCCCCTGTGGATCCTTCCAGGGCTCAGGGACGCTGGCACTGGGCAGTACCCAGCAGGGCTGTGAGGCTGCACTCCAGCCCAGTCCGGCAAACTGAGCTTATCAGCTGTGAGCAGTGTCAAGGCTGGCCAGATGAGAAGGATCTGCTCTTTTGCATGACTGCTCTTAAGCTTTTTTAACAGAAAACCTGATGTGTAAGAAATAAGGTTTGGCACAGACATCTCTGTACATCAAAACAAGAAACTCCTCATGCCATGGTTTTAGCCACAGCTCTATCAGAGGCTACTGTGATCATAATTCCTCAAAAAGAGGGACATTTCCTGCTAGATTTTTTTTATTTTGAGAAAACCCCTCTTTGCTCTGTAACAGAGGCTGAATCTTTCCATGTCCTTTTCTCAGCAGTTCAGGGAAAGGAAGGCACAGTTACCAGTACTGCCCTCAATTCACAGATATTTTAACTCCTCTTTTTCATCAAAAGCTGAAACCTTAATAAAAAAAATGAAAAAAAGTAAAAAAGCTAAGCCTTTGCACCAGGCTAAGCACTTACCACATTCCTGGCAGATTTTTTTCTCTTTTTTTTTTTTTTTTTTGGTCACCACAATGTGGAATTTCTTCTGGTTTTCCCATCATAGCCTGTTTTAACACTCAGTTCCCTCATCCATTTCACCTCTACAAACAGCAACTCAGAGTAAAAGTACAGCTGCTCTGACAGTCAGAGAGCAACTCCTCCCTTGCAGCAGGCCCAGCTGGTAATAGTGCCCGTCCGTGAGATGGAGATGGGGCAGCTGGGTTGCAGCAGCCCCATACGCGCTCCCCCTGTTCCTACAACGGGGCGCTTGCAGGCACCCTATGGATTTAGTGTTACAGGATTGCTTTAACCCACTCTTTGCTTTCATCTTGGCTCTCTTGTAGGCCCCAACTCTTTCACAGAGGCAGTGGCTTACATCCAGGCTCAGTACGAGAGCAAGAACAAGTCCCCCAACAAGGAGATCTACACACACATCACCTGCGCCACCGACACCAACAACATCCAGTTCGTCTTTGACGCCGTCACGGATGTCATCATCGCCAACAACCTGCGGGGATGCGGACTCTACTGAAGCCCTCCCCTCCTCTCCTCACACCTGCTGGGAGCATCCTCCAGTCCCGCGGACAGGTCCTCTCTCTTTTCTTCTTTTTTTTTCTCCTCCGAAGATGATGAGGAAGAAGTACATAAATCCCTCCTCCCGTCCCAGAAAACTTTGCAGCAAGTTCTGCTTTCCCCAGCCCTGTTTTATTTTATTTTGGTTTATTTCTGGTTCGTTCCCTTGCTGCCTCATTCTACTCCTCCGTTCCAATTTGCAGTGCCATAGAGGGAGCTAACGCATTTCCCACAAAGTGCATTTCAACTGCCAAAAGACAAAAATACTTCCGTTTTAAAAAAAGAAAAAAATCAAAGCCTTAAAATAGGGGTCAGCCACAGTGTAGTTTGGAACTGAACCTTTTTTTTTCCTTGAAATTACGGGATATTTTTAATTCTCCTCATTATTTATCTTTTTTTAAAAACACTGTTCCTTTGGGAAGTGCTAGATACAACATGATTATTTTGAGGGTACCTTATGGCTCCAGTTCCTACCCCACAGCTGGAGGGGTCAGTGTTGAACACAGCCACCACAGCTTGGATTTGTATACTCTCCTTTTTTCCAGACAGCTATTTGAACAAGTAAGACAGCCATATTGAGTTCTGCTGGTGTCTAAGACAGACACAGTAACAAAACCTACTAAGTTTTGTCTAAAAGCATTCATTACCAGTAACAGTTTTACCTCAATTTTTTCAAAATTAATGTTAAAATTTGTCTAGTGGTTTCAGTAACCTGTTTGTTAGGCACTTGTCTGGATGCCACAGAGCTGCTGAGCTGAGTTGGTCAGTGGCAGCTGGGCTTGGATCCCTGGAGTGTAGGCAGGAGGATGCCCTGGGACGGCGTCCTGACGGGGACCCTGCACTCAGGAGCATCCCAGCCAGGATCCCAGCCTGGGCACCCAGCGGCCTTTCCCAAAGCACCTCCCAGCCTAAGTGATTTCAGCAGAGCGGATGCTCCTGCAAACACACAGCATCTCTTTCCACACTGCAGCCCTGAATCCCTGGGATGCACCAAAAATATTTACCCCTGGCTCCTTGTAGGCAGAGTTTGGCCTTCAAGTATCTGGAAAGTGGGGAGGTGCTTTGGGAAGACTCACCATGCTTGGTGACAGCAAGGTGTGCAGGAGCCTCACGCTCTTCATGTCCACCTTGGACATCTAAATACCCTTGAGAAGCCTGACTTTGCACTCTGAGCCTCCTTGGCTGAGCAGAATCTGGTAGCTTGCCTGTGTCATCTCCTGCCTGGGCATCCAAGAGCTCCAGGTTTGGTGTCTCCTGTCAGGGAGTCTCTTTACCGGTATCTAAAGCAAGAGGGCTGGTGTGTACCGGCTGTGTAGTGAGGGCTCAGGGAGCTGATATGAGCCAAGGGATGGAGTAGGAAGGAAAAGTGCAAGGAAGGGAAAGAAGAGAGGGAGTAAAGGCAGGGGAGAGGTGTGGAAATAGCAAGGGTAGCATCCAGCAGAGCAAAATGTGGGGGCACAGAGAGGAGGACAAACACGGCCGGGCCAGGTTAGGTGTGGCCATCCGCCTGCCATCACCAAGAGCTCCGGGTACCATCAGGGTGAAGGCAGAGGGAGCATGAGAGGTGGGGTATCACCTCTGGGATCATGGAGGAACCCTTAGAAATCCACCCCGAAAGCTTCTTTGGTGTCTGGGTGAGACAACCACCTCTGAGGTCCCACTCAGCATGGCATCTGGGGGCAGGTAGGCAGTGCTGATCCCTGCCTCTGCTCTAACTCTTACAAGTCCACGATCCTGGAAAATGTGAGTCTTTCCAGGCCAGTGACAAGTTCAGCTGTCCTCTCTTGGGAGCCTGAGCTAGGGGTGTCTTTCAGGTCTCAGGAGGTCTAAGTTTTCTCCAGTGCCATGCCTGAGAGGGACAATATCTCTTTTCTCACTGTGCCTATCTAAGGAGAGATGGTGTGAGAGCAGCCTAAAGCAGCACAGCCCAAAGGCACAGGGCCAGGTGAGCGTTGCTGTGCAGGAGGCAGGGAAAGGAGCAGGTACATGGCATGGGATGGAGAAGACTGTTGGAGGAGATGGTGGGCGGGGTGGTTTGGGAGAGAAGTTGCAGAAGGGAGATGAGGCAGGTTGATGCAGCAGGGAGGACAGGAAGAGAAGGGCACCTGAGAGCTGGAGGAGAGTCCCCGTCAGAGGTTGTACTCTGCTGGGAAAAAAACCCAGCCAGGGGTTTAAACAAAACTCCCGCCAGGGATGTGAGGCAGGAGCACCCCAGGGCAAACAGGGGAGGCCTGAGGAGGAGAACAAGGTGGCTTTCACCCATCTATCCAGCTCACAGCCCAGCATGGTTGGCAGCTGTGTCAGTAACCCCCTAAATAGCATCAAATGATAAAACTGTGTTTAGTATTGTACAGTGAGGATCCACTGCTGCTCTGTTGGACACTAACAGCAATAACGCCAGGTCTCTGTCTCCCTTGCTCTGGCACAAGTGAGTACACACCTTTCTTTTCACACTTCAGCCTTAAAATACCTCCAGCAGCATCAGCTCCTGCAGAGAGCTGGCCAGCCAGTAAATCCAGGAGCCCCTCTGCTCCTCACACCACATCCCACCCACACGCCTTGTTTTCCCAGGTCCCAGCTTCTCTCCCAGCTCCATTTAATGCCAGCACACTCTGCTCTACAACTCTAAACCAAAGGAACACTGAACACAAAGCCTGCGCATGTTTTTGTATTTGATTTAGCTTAGGATTTTCAGAGTCAATGAGAAGGTTTTCCAAAGAAAGGATCCCAATGGGAAGCACCGACCCAGTTCTCTGGTTCCTTGGAAGGGACCAGCTGATGGCAATGGGACGGTGCTTCTGCTGTAGGAGGGGCAGGGAATTAGCTGGAGGGATGCAGAGGGACAGGGATGTGCCTGGAGCTTGTCCCATGTGGTTGGCTGAGTCCCACCAGGAACACCTAGCATCCAAATGTATGTTGTGTGTCAAAATGAGGGCTGAAAAGCTGAATATTAGCTTCATTTGGTACATAAAGTGTATGTAACTGCTAGACCCAGAGTGCAGGGCCAGACCTGTGTGCTGTGGTGCGCTGATGGCTTGCACTGCCAGTGAGGCAGGCCTTATATTAAGCTCTGTCAGAAGAGTTTGATCAGCATCACTAGAATTTTGGAGATTTTCTGTCCCCACCCCTTGCTGTAGGTGACATTTTATCCAAGCAAATAAGTAACAGAAGCTGTTCCCAGTGAAGGCAGCACCAAGCCAAGGCTTCAGGACTTAAAGCGCACAGAACTATTCTGGTAAAGACAATTTAAATTAACTCAACCCCAAACTCTGCTGAATGCATCTGAGTCACCAGTGCCACCTCAGTGCACTTGTGCCACGCTCCGGGTTGAACTCAGGTAGCCCGTACCCGGCTGTGCTGGCTGGGAGGTCCAAACCCCCTCCTGCCCCAGCCCCTCCACAACTCCAGCTGCTTCCCCAGCATGTTGGTGACAGCCAACGGCTGGGGCTCCACAGGGACAAAAAGAGGAGGAAATGTTGACACACAGAGTCTTTTCTTTCATTTTCTTCAGTATATTGTATGTCTAAAGCTTCATTTCAGCTGCTGCTGCTGACATTCCCTCCCTCACACGAGTGTCGTGAGGATTCACTGACAAAGGCTGGAAATGGCATTTGGAAGACAAAATGCTTCCAGCGTTAAACACTACTATTTCTCCCGCTTGATGGCCATGTATAGATTTTTGTCGCCAAAACGCCTGCCAAAGCATTACTCACTGCTAGCTTTCTGCATCCTCCCAAGCCTTTTCTGACAGATGTGCCTTCTGCAGGCAATCTTTTGCCCTGTGCTTTTTCTAAACACCATCAATTGCCTAGAAAGAAGACCTTGAAATACACTGCCTGCTTTCAAAAGCCCTCTTCTTAATAGCCCCTTGTGCTCTGCAATTGCAGTGCTCCAAATCCCGAGCCTCAGAGGCCCTGAGTTCTGTTTAATTTGCAGCCTCCACATAACAGGGGTGTTGCAACGGATACAGCTGCATCAGAAATCATACCAGGGCACGGGGGACATATTTTAAAAGCACAGAACTGAAACAGCTACCTATATACCCTGCTGGCCTTCAAAGCTAATGTGAGGGTTTGCAAAAGATGCCCTTCTGAGGATGCAGGAGGTTTTTAATGACTCCGGTCACCTGTCCAGCAGCAGCATCTGAGGGGCGTCACGTTGCAAGCAGTGTTAGGAGCTCGTGATGTTTCAGACAGCATCAAAAAGAAAGAAGGAAGCCCCACAGCTTGTTCCATCAGCAATGAGAGGGTCAAGTGGGGAGCCGTGAGATAAAAACAAAATGCAAATAACTCCTTTATTTAAACAATAATTTCAATGAAATAGAGAAACCTGTACAAGAAAGCCTTGAAATGAACCTGTAGATGAGGCTGCAGGGTTAAGGTGCAGAGCACCGTCCTCCCTGGGAGGATGCAGTAGCTGGGCTTGTCAGGAGAACTAGCAATAAACACGCGCTGGGAAAGCACACGTTAAAATACAGCCACATACTTCAAAGGCCATTTTTTTTCTTTAGCAAATAGAGTTCACAGTCTGTTTTTTACATGCGGCCGGAGGAACCCAGTGGAGTGGCAGGGCAGCGGGACTGTGTGGCGAGGCCATCTGGCCCCTCCGTCTGCTAGCACAGGGCTGTCCCTGCTGCCCCTGCCCTCCCACGGGGTGAAGGGTCGGCGGCTTCCCACCACTGCCCTCCCAGAAATTCTTCCAACTACATCTCTCTCAGGAGTTTTGTACAAGAATTAGCTTCTTGCCTTGCCAGCCTCCCTGGATGGCTGGCCAGCCTGTCCCTCCATGGAGGGGACGGCATCCTCACGAGGAGGCTGCCATGGCTCCTCAGTAGATGTGATTTTGTTTTACAGGACACTAAAAGTATTAATGAGAGCAGTCTATACTGTAATGTATATTAAAATGTACCTGGTGGGTTTAATCTATTGTGAGTCCAGTGCTTGCCTGCAAGGGAACAGACTGTTCTCAGGCCAGGAATGCAATCCGAGAGGTCAGGTTGGGACATAGATGTCTTTTTGCCAAAACATCCCCGTGTGCTCAGTCGCTGCTGCATGAAGCGTCGGGCAGCCCCTCACTGTGCAGCTCGACAAGGCACCGGGTTCAGCTGCGGGTGGCAGACATCCCCCATGGGGGATTTTGCAGTTAATGCTCTTAACAGGGACCAACCCTGCACTGTTCACCTGTAAGATGTGTCCAAGTATTTTGTGGCCAAAAAAACCTCCTGAAGCCAGGGAGAGTTGTTGAGTTCCTGGGAACAAGGCTGACCGTCTGTCAAGTCGATTAGAAAAGCTTAGTACTAGTGTATTTGTGTCTTTGTCATGGGCCAGGTTTGTCTTCAGGCTTACGACCAAAAACCCCACAACCATTTCCAAGGAGACTACAACACTCATTAAGGATCTGATGCCAGAAGCGTCAAGGTCAGTAGAGATGGTGCTACCGAGCATCATCCCGAACCACCCAAACCCATCACACATCTGCATCCCCAACACACGCACGAGAAATCAGGGACCTGGTCCAGGTGGCACAAAAAAAGTGGACCACAGTCTCGTCTCTACCTCCCCAAAGGAAAGAGCAGGCAGAAACCCTCTCCCAGAGCACCCCAAGACTTGAGTGTACGTTGCCATTTCTGAGCTCCTGCAATGACCTGCAATAACTGATGCTGGCAGATATAGGTACAGAACCTATATAAGACCTTGTGCTGAGAATGTAGCTATGGAAAGGGACTTCTCACAGGACTGCTCATGTCCAGACCAGCAGCCTGCAAGATCTTTATTTGTGCTGCAAAATCTAGCAAGTATGACCTTTAAACACTGATCTGTTAATAAGAGGAGGACCACCAAAGCCTCCTGGCTGGCACCCTGCAGGCAGAGGGAGAGGGGAGAGAGCTGGGATGGATATAGGGCAAAAAACATGTCACAGAGAGGGCAGCTCAGTTCTCCATGGGCACCGGGTGCAGCAGCCGTGGGGAGGAGAGAGCCAGGGAGGAGGTGGAGGGCTGGGAGCCGGCCCGACACTTGCTGCCCCAGCTCCTCCCACCCAGTGTCTTGGAAATTGATGTCATGACCAAATCCTGGCTGGCCTGTAGCACAGGCAAGCAGCTTCAGGTCTAACCCCCCTGCTCCAGGTGGGGAGAGATCACAGCAGGTAACAACAGGATTTTCAGCATTGACCAAGTCTCACCAGCATTTCCAGTGCTGGAGCTACGCAATGGTACTGGGCAAGAAAATAGGGCTGTTTAAAGACCAGTTACTGCCCCATTGAATAGCCCAGACCCTAATTTAAGATCCTCAGCCCTATTCCCCCCACCTCCCCTTTCCCTCCTTCAGCTCGACAAGGGAACAGTGACCATCACCCTGCCTCTGGGCTCCCTGCTCCCCACCACATTTCTTCCCAAAGGATCACCGGAGGCCGCCACGATTTTCCTTTTGCTGGTTTCCCGCTGAATCATTTCTCCTGCATGTTTGATGGCCCAAACTGTATTAACTGTAATTTTGTACGAAGAGTGACTGTCCATTGGTTTAATAGAGCATTAGTTATTGTAATAATTTATTGGCTGTTGGTAATGTATTTATTAGTTACAAACTGTTAATAAAGTGCCAGCTCTTTTCTAGTGTGAGAGGGTTTTTATTGTGTCTCCCTTGAGCGCGTCCAGCTTCTCAAGCCTGTTATTCACCCTGCATCTGCTCCACACACATGTATGACACATGCCTGCAGTGTCAGTCGTCTGCCACAGCATCATTTGCCTGGAAATAAGGAATCTGAAAAGGATATAACCAAAAGGTATTTAATTTTATGTATTTGGTGGGAATTTTTTTTCCTTTGATTTTAAGTAGAATAAATTTACCATCATCTCCGTCTTCTCGTTGGCTTCTTGAAACTTCTCCCCTCGTGAAGCTGTCCCTTGCCCCGGTGTATCTGTGTCAGACCATCCATGCTTTTCTTCCAGCACTGCCTGACCCCGCGCTGGCCTCCGTCTGCCCGTGTCCAGCTGCCCTTCTGGCAGCCATCAGTGGCAGGGCCCAGCATCCTGCTGCCCCTTGGCTTCCTCCAGGCACAAATCTATTACAAGCAGCAGGCCTTGCTTTTCTTTTCAGCCATCTCATCACATGAGCCTTGTGAGCACCGAAGCAAAAAAGCCATTTTGGGTTCAATTCAAAAAATGGTGCTTTTCCCACCTTTTAGTAACACAGTACTTAGAGAACTTCTCCCTCCCTTTGAAATAGCTCTTGGGCCAGTTGTTCTTTTATGTTTAAACCAAAGATCTTCCATTATTTAGGGCTCAAAATAGAAGCAAAGAACTTGAAGAAGCCAAGAGAAAATTTTCCATAAACCTCAGCAAAGGAAAATTAACCTTTATTCCTATTGACTTCACCAATTTCCAGTGATGTAACCAGCTGGACCCCTCCTCAGACACATATCCCGATACATCCCATCCTGCAGGTCAGACAGAATGACAGGACAGCTCTGAGAAGACCTAATGCCTGAGAGGGAAAGGATTTTTCTTTGTATATTTGCATTGGAGATTTTTAACATTTTCTTCCAGGGTGCCATCCTGCCTGGATCTTCTGCACGAGCATCCAAGGCCCAGAAGTCACCAGGGTTATTTTCCCTGCAATGGGGATTTTCATTTCCCCAGGCACACGCGTTATTTCAGCTACTCCTCCACCAACACGATCACTCCTTTATTGAAATATAATGCATACATATGACAACATAAGTGATGAACAAGGAGAAAACCCAGATACTCTCCATGAAAATCTGAAGACCCAGTATCTTTGCAACAGTCACAAATCAGGAAGAGACATGTCCTTTTGTGGTGGTTTCTGTTGTCCCCATGAATAAGGACTTTTATATTTTAATTTTTTAAAAAAAAGATAAGGATCAAATGAGGTCCCAAAGCTTTGGAAAGCAACTGCTTGGCATTCCTAGCTACTCTTTTTCAAGGAACCAACAGTGTAATCTCAAAGCCTTTCAAGATTAAATCAGACATCTGCTAAATTTTGCATGCAAAAGCTACAGTTGAAGTATAGCTAATAAAATGACTCACTAATAAAACATTCATGGCAAATTCCAAAATGTGTAATTGGGTCATCATTTCATGAACAAACACGTGTGTTCTCACAAATCTTTGGCAAATCCAAAGCCCCCCCACCCTTTGCTGCGCCTCAAAAAAAAAAAAAAAAAAGAGAAGGGGCTCTGGGGGGATGTTTGCTGCAGGAGGGTTCCCCACCGGCTGCCAAACACCTTGCTGCCCTGCAGCATGTCTGCTGCTCTCAGCTTCACTCCAGGCTTCTCCAAATAGCCAGGTGTCCCTGTGCGAGCGGCCAAGGCAGGGCTCAGCCCCAAGAGGGGGCTGCAGAGAGGGGCAGGGGGTGGCCAGCTCCTTCACCAAGGCCTGGTTTTGCACCAGAAGCTTTGCACGTTCGAGTTGTAAACTAGGTGGGTATGTGCAATGAAAAAGGCACACGGCCTGCCTAAAGTGTCTGCCGAAGTCATCAGTGGAGCAGCAGGGAATGGCTTGCTCTTTATTCTAAGAGCAAGTTAACGATGGAGAAAGTTTTTGAGGGCTCCTAGAGAGCCGTATCTGTCCTGCCCAGTGGCACCTTCACACTAACAGCGAGTGCCTGCGCCTGCCTGCACAGACACCCCCCGGCCTCTCGAAAGAAGCATGAAAGTACTCTGCTTGATGGTGCCCTGCAACAGCTGATGTGGTGTCTCCTCCTCCTCCTCCTGTCCTTCTGTCTGCTCTCCATTCCTTTCTGGTAACAACTTCTGTGGCATGGGGAAAAATGGTTTTATATGGCTTTTGTCCACATGTGAAAGAACAATTCCTTTAAAAAAAAAAATCTTTTAGAGATTTGCCTCCATTTATGCTCGTACTAAAACAATGCTTAAAGTCTCCCTGGAGCTGCCCTCAAGTGCAGGAGGGCTGCGGGGTGGGCTGGCAGAGGCACCTGCACTGGTTTCCTCCACGCAGCAGCACTTGGAATTCCTTAGCACTGACCCAGCCACCACTGTGGTATTTTCAAAGATGGGCAGAAGATTTTTTTCAGGGACAGAAGGGCCCAGCCCGGACAGGACCTGCCCCAGCCTCTGGGCAGTCCCTCAGTACTGGTCTCACCACGATGGCACCGCTCGGGTCCGTGGGATCACCCCGAGATGGCCAAACTCCACCTGGTCCCCACGCCCAGCACGTTCCGACTGCTGCTGTCTGTCCATCCTGTATTTAGGCTCCACAGGTGATACTTCATGGGCGCTCGGCCCCTGAAGAGACACAGGGCCCCTCCCACACTCCCCTGGTTAGGTAGGTGATGAGCAAATGACTTTTTCTGCTCGTCCTTGAAGGTTCAGGTGTCAGCTCTGCTAGAGCAGCCCCACAGGGACATGGTGGAGGATCAGCTGCAACCTCCACACCTGCCTTGTCCTCCAGCCCAAGAGAGCAATGCCCTGGTTTTCCTTCACCTTTGTAACCATCTCACATTTACCACTGTCTTAATTTAGATTTTCTTTTTTTTTGCTTTCTAACCATTTCAATTCAGAAAAATGTTCTCCTCTCCTCTAACTCTTTCTCTTTGCCTTTCTCTCTCCCCTCTCCTCCCTCCATGCTCTCCGTTGCAGAACCGCATGCACGAATCTCTCATGCTCTTCGACTCCATCTGTAACAACAAATTCTTCATCGATACCTCCATCATTCTCTTCCTTAACAAGAAAGACCTATTTGCTGAGAAGATCAAGAAATCACCTCTGACCATCTGCTTCCCTGAATACACAGGTACGTGCCAGGGCTGATGCGGCACAGCCCTGCGGGACGCCCACCACCGCACCACCGGGGCTGGGGGGCTGCGTCTCGCCCCAGAGGTGGGCAGGGTGGGGTAGAGGGGACAGGATGCCTTAATGGGGGGGACAAAAGCACTGCCCACCTTCAAGAGGCGCGGTACAGCTCTGGCACCCTGTCAGGGGGCGTGGTTTGTGTCCTGCGTGCGGTCAGTCCTGATGGCAAAGGTGCACGACTGGCTGATGGGACAGGGAGATGCTCAAAATGGTCACGATGAGTTGAGGCAGATGGAGACGAGCTTTACTGGGTGGCCACGGGGAGCTGTGGAGAGGAGTGGCCTTGGTGGGAGCTGACTGCCTGCTCTTCAGCTGTCCTGTTTGCCCGCGGCTCCTGAGAAGCTCCTGCCACAGGAGCCAAGACATACGGTCCTCCAGGCTGCATCTCCCACTCGCACCCTCCCAGGATGGCCTTTGTGCAGGGTACAGCTGGGGAAGAAAAAAGCCCCTTTACGGCAGAAATCTGTGGAACCACAAGAAAATCATACTTTAAGTGAAACCAACATGGCTTGGGGGACAGAACAAAACCCAAGAAAATGGGGGAAGAATAGATACCGCTTCTGAATTCTCTAAAGGAAAGAAAAAAATCAGATTCAGAGGCTGCAGCATCCACTACAAATACTTGAATGTCTCTGCACTATTTCACCCAGAGCACACCTACTCTGGACACCAGAGTGTGGGGACAAGGAAGGCCCCCAGCAAGACGTCACCCATTCCCCTATGGCAGAAGTGCACCAGCATTTCCACCGGAGGTTTTTAGGCTTCATCATGAAAGCAGCAGTATTTTTTGTCACAGCCACCTAGTGGAACATCCCAGACTACCACAAGAAGTTGTACAGCACATCATGGCTACCCCAGGGAGCAGAACAGCCTGGTGGCACCAGGCCACCTCCCCTCTCCTTCAGCCAACCGCCTCATTGGGAAGGAGGGGAACCAGCAAGCTGGAAAAGGAAAATAAATCTCCAGATAATAGCAGCTCTTCCAAAGGCGATTTCAAGGGTGTAATTCAGGCTTTGCGACTTCCCACGAGGGGCCAGGCGCAGCCACTCTCGCTGCTGTAAGCAGCTTAATGCAATAATGCACATTTTTCAGCTCAAACATCTGGCCCCTCTCCAGCCCACCTTACAAAAGCAAAACTCCCCTGGACCACTGAGCAGGTGGGCAATGACACATCTCTGAGGGGCTCCTGCCCCAACGCATCCCCTCACAGAGCCTAGGGGGAGACCCCAGCCTATGGCACACAGAGGGGCTCAGCCCCACTACAGGGGCACAGCCAGCACCCATGGGTGACAATGGAGTAGCCACCAAACCCCCCAGCCATCCTGCCTAGCCGGGGGGCCACCAGGCCCCCTGGACTTTCCCCTCCACACTCCCTTGGGATGTCATTGCAAGACACACCACAGAGACTCACCAGGACAGCAACATGGCCTGGCCCCGGGGAGAAAAGGGGAGCGGGGCAGTAAGGGCAAAGCTGCAACACCTGGAGAGGAAGGAGTCTCCAACAGAGCCCAGGTGTTCTGCAGTCGGGGGGGAAGAGAAGGGAAATGGGGCAGAATGGGGTGGAAAAGAGGAGGTTATGGGGAAAGGAGGGAGACGTGGGGGGAAAGAGGGTAAATAGACACTTGCTGAGGGGTGAACTTGGGGGAAAATTTGACAATAAATAGGTTTTTCCTTAAATTTTCAAAATAAAGCACTTTGCAAGCAGTGAGGGGCCAGGTGCTTGGTGGGGGGGTGGTGGCCGATGACCCTGACACCCCCCGCTCTGTCCCCCCTGCCTCTGCC